GATGCAATGGCATAACTATTGTGAAAATGTATCAGAAAAGTTAAACTCCATGATGAGTTTGTTATGTATACATGAATTGATGACAATTAACCGAACTTCTGGATATCTGTCAAAAATAAGCCAAAGTTTCCCATATGGTGCGCACTTTAATGGTGACACTGTATAAATGTAAAAATATAAAAAATAAATATATGAAAATAAGGTGAATGTATAGCAATGGACTATTGAATTGTGTAGTTCATGTATTCTTCTATTGAATAAAAGCAATGTTCACTCAATGTTTTTTTAATTTTTTTTCTTAAAAAGATACATGCTAAGCTTTGTTAGGCCTACATTAGGTTTATTGTACAAATTCAAGTTGGGAGAGTTGGAAAAAGATATTTTCAGTCTGTTTCCCTATTTCTGTGCAATTCATTATGGGTTTGATGTATAAAGATGCAAGGAAGTGGCATTATTCGATTTTTGATGAAAAGTGACCTACAAGGTTGGTCGTAGCGCGTACCTTCAATTATTCTCAATGCCCTTTTTTGCAACTTGAATACTCTTGTTGCCTGACTAGAATTTTCCCATAAAATGGTACCATAGCTTATATGCGAATGGAAGAGGGAGTGGTATGTAGTCAATAGCACATCTTTGTTCACAATATTTTTCAGTTTACACAGCAAAAATAGTTGGCTAGACAGTTTATTGCATAGATGGTTTATGTTGCTATTCCACTTTAATTCATCATCGAGAGTTATCCCCAGAAGTTTAGCAGTGGATCATTCCAAATATTTTTATTAGAGGAGAATATGATGTGCTGGGTCTTATCATTGTTCATTTTGAGTTTATTTGTCGTAAACCACAGTTCTGCTCTAGAGGCAGTAGTCGCCATAAGTTCATTGAGTACAAGTCGACTATAATACGAATTAATTAATAAAGTGTCGTCAGCAAATGCAATACACATATCCGGAAACAAATAATGAAATATATCATTGACATATATGGTGGACAACAATGGCCCAAGTACGGATCTCTGTGGCACGCCATGGTCAGTATGATCCCGTAGCGAAGTAGTTCCGTTGACAGATACCACTTGTTGACGGTTGGACTTTAAGAGATTCAGTGGGGTTCCTCTTACCCCATAGTGCTCGAGCTTTGCCAGCAGCAGCTCATGTGAGACACAGTCAAACGCCTTAGATAAGTCACAGAGTGTGAGCCCTGTTAACTTCCCAGTCTCAAGGCCCTCAACTATTCCTCCCACAACTCTGTTTACCGCCTGGACCGTGGAATAGTTCCCAGCAAGATTCCCACCTTGATACCTTCGACAACCTTTCCATATGAGAGTTTTTGCACGTCAGTTACACCTGACGATGCCTTAGATTCAATCGTGCAGAGCTTTTTCGCCTCTGGTTTTGGTGAATTATCACTTGAGCGCAAACGTTTGCTAACCTGCTCATGGGGGGTTTGTTCCTCCACTTGAGACAGATTATGCGTACGCAGCTCAAGAATTTGGTGCAAGGCGGTTTTATAAAGTGCCCGCTCTTGAAGAGACGACTCAGTCTTTTCCTAGGTTCACCACCAAACCTTTTTTTTTTAGGTTCAGTTATTGGATCAAGAGTTGGGACGTTGAGAAGATCTCGCTCCTGAACTTAATTTACAGGGAGGTCAGTTAAAGTCGTAAACTCGATATCCATCTCCTCTGTAGACTCGCTCCTAAATTAAATTTACAGGGAGATCAATTGGAGTCGTAAACTCGACATCCATCTCCTCTGTAGACTCGCTCCTGATCCAAATTCACAGGGAGGTCAGTTGGAGTCGTGAGGTCGACTTCCATTTCCTCTATAAACTTAGCGTCAGAAAGAATTTTTAAGTTTACTCTGTCCATAAAAGTCCCACGAGTAGCTAGCCCTCATTACCGTGACAAGGCGATGCTACGACGAGAGGGCGCCCGGTATCTCAAAGGTTTGGTAGAGACAGCTGATAAGCTCAGTGTCATTCATCCTCTCGACACACCTTAGGATTAAGACATCGTTGGGATGCTATTCAGTAAGGGAATAACAGAACCACAAGTGATTCTGTCCATATTCCATGGCTGTGGCTTATAACTCAGACTGATTTTGACCAATGGCTCGGGTTATGTTGGCTTCGAGGACCGCTGTAGTTTGTGGCTTATTCGCATACACCTGCGACTAAAGAAAACCCCCACAAGAAAATGTCTAACGGGGTCAAATCGCACAATCTCGGTGGCCAGTTCAGATCACCTCCACGTGAGATTACCACACCCTTAAATCGCTAGTGGTAAATATCAAATGTTGTATGAACTGTGTGGCACGTAGCGGCATCCTGCTGAAACTACATGTCGTTGGTGTCTATCCAATTCAGACCAAAAGAAGTGGGTAATCATCGACTCATTTTGCTCATCGTTGACAGTGATGGCCTGGTCAACGTCGTAAATAACTTGCACCAGTAAAATTGTTTTATACTTTAATGAACTATTCACCTGCCCTCTAGGTTTTACTTTTTTTGAGAACTCCAAATAGATATTTGTCAACCCTCAGAAGTCGAAAGTTGTGCGAGCTAAGGATTAACGAAGTCTTACCTTTTATCGTGTGATTCCTAACACGGGTTGGACGATAGCAAGTGAAAATCGATCGTTCAGACTGGGATTTGAACCACCGACCAACACGCATTCAATCCGAGTGACTGAACAAAGCACCCACTTGATATGATTACTGAAACATTCATAAACTAATGATGCCGGTTGTATCAGAAATCAAAGGTTATCCCTCTAAGTATTTTCTATTTTCGAATATATTTATTCTTCATTGATGCAATGGCATAACTATTCTTAAAATGCTATCTTTCTATTTTCAGGCACCTTTCAAGCCTCCCCCACCCATGAATACAGACATTCACATATTGTCGGGAACTTACACTGAACATATGCGACATCTTTGGCTTAGCAGGGCTCATACAGATATCGTGTTGATTGTGGGGTCGATGGGATTTCCTGCACATCGGTTCATCCTGGCAGCCAGCAGTAGAGCTTTTTACAGGTATGAATACTTTATATTTGAAAGGTAAAAATGTTTTGTTTTGCCTCGCAAATCTTTCCATAATGAAATCGTTCATCAAAGACTAAACTTTCCCGCACAAAAATAACTGTGCTAAAGTTACTACCTGGGTTTGTTGGCCGTGATCTGCAAGTTTTCATGTCTGACGTTTCGTGTACGACTGCGGTAGACATTATGGAAAGCGATGAGGAAACGGATAAAGTGCTCTGTTTGTCCTCATTGATGTTAAATACCCCTTCTGTTCTATTGAAGATATTTTTGTATAACTTGAGTCCCTTCTCTCAGTTCTGCTATTGTTGATTTGTCGGTATGCTCTTGTGCTCAGAGAGCCGGGTACTTACACTTGTCTTCGTGGTTCCAATGTAGACCAATTTTCAGCAACAGAAAATCCGTTGTACTCATAATGTTACTTATTGTTTAAGACACAACATAAGCACTATAGGAAAATCCTTGAGGCACTCTTAGAGAGGTGCCTGTGCGAAAGTAGCGATTTACGTTGGATTTGAATCGCTGGAGATTAAAGTCTTTTGTAAAAACGTTCTCAGGAAGTTCATTCCACACAAACGCAGTTTTCCAAACAAAAGAGTTTCCAAACAGTGAAGTTCGAGGTGTACTGAGTTGAACCTCAAAACGATGAGCAGCAACAGTACGACGCGTATTTCTGTCATCAAATGTACCAAGTCACTTGAACACCTCATGTGAAAGTATATATAGAAGAAAGACAAATTTCCAACCTTTCTTCGATGCTCCAGACTATCAAGGTTGCAAGTGATAGTCGTGTCTCCAATCAGGCGGATGGCTCTTTTCTTGATGGAATCCAGCAGCTTCAAGGTGTGTTCATGGGCGGAGCTCATACATGGGAGCAATACTCCAAAGGTCTGATCTGTAATAAGCATCAAAAGTTGCTGAGGTGTGTACAATTTTCTGGTTTGGAACAGTGTTCCAAGCTTTTGAGAAGCAGCCTTTGCAATTTCAGCGACATGATTGTGCCAAGACATATTGGTGTCCATTTCAGCCCCCAGAAAACTTATCGAAGCAGAAAGCGAAATTATCTATCTTGACATTATTATATCCGGTTCGGAGACATTTATTTTTCAGAGAAAACCGATGCCTGGGTTTTTGTGGTATTGAATTGAACCAATACCTGTGGTATTGAATTGAATTGAAGTTTTTTTTGATCTGAACATCGATTTCACGTTGTATTTCTCCAGAATTATAATCCAGTCATTTAAGCTTAAATTAGGTAAGAATCTCGGAATTCGAAATACCCAGCTGTGAGTCTGTAAATACTTGTATATTGACACCCTAAAAGTTGTCTCAAAACCTACATATGGTAGGGTGTAAGCAACTATTAAATTTCAAGGTCAAAGGTCACGAAAATCGGTTTTTTGCGCTTTTTTTGGAAATATCTCATTTCCTATGGGTTTTTTGCTATTTGTATTTATTATCAATATTGTAGAATACAAAATTCTCTACAAATTTT